AAAGGACCTGGTCATCGAATCCCTGAGCACAGGCACCGAGATTGAACTACCAACCACGTACACACGGGATGACATTCTTCTTGATCGACAGCTGATCCCAAGGAAGTCAACAGTTCAGGCTTGGGAGCATCTCACAGAAGTGGCATCGAGCCTACCGAGGTACTATGAAGAGGCTGACATCGGTCTGCTGTTGGGGTTGAACTGTGGTGCAGCCATCAAGCCTCTGCAAACAGTCACAGGTGGAGACAACGAACCCTGGGCAGTTCGCACTGAACTGGGGTGGTCTGTTGTGGGCACGGTCGAGGCACCGACGACGCCCTCTACAGGCTGCTACCTCGTCAACGTGGGTAGTGACGTCACTATCAAGCGACACTTTGCCTTCAGGATGCAAGTGAGAGAAGTTACTCCAGAACAAGTATCACGTCTCTTCGATAGTGACTTCAAGGAGGTCTCAAAGGGTGCCAAGATGTCACAAGAGGACATGAGGTTCGAGACGTTGATGAAAGAGCAGATGGTGCAGGGAGAAGATGGACACTTCGTGGCACCGCTGCCGCTGAAAGACCCGGACTCTCAGTTCCCGAACAACCGGATCATGGCAGAGCAGCGTCTTGCTTCCCTCAGGAGACGCTTGCTATCGCAGCCGCGCTTGAAAGAAGAGTATCAAGCATACATGCAGGATATGCTCGATAAAGGCTACGCTGAAGCTGTTCCGGATGACGAGCGATGCCGTGACGACGGGAAGGTATGGTATGTCGCTCACCACGGAGTGTACAGTCAAACCAAACAGAAGCTGCGCGTAGTGTTTGATTGCAGTGGAGAATTCCAGGGATGTTCCCTGAACAACCAGCTCATGCAAGGGCCCGATGTGTCCAACAACCTGTGCGGCATCCTGACTCGGTTTCGAAAGGAGCGCATCGGTATCACATGTGACGTGAAGGGCATGTTCAACCAAGTCAGGGTAGCCCCCGAAGACAGAGACCTGATAAGGTTTCTATGGTGGGAGAACGGCGACATGCGGCGAGAGCCATCCGAGTACCGGATGACGACACATCTGTTCGGCGCTTCATCTTCGCCGGCGTGCGCCATGAGTGCCCTGAACAAGACAGCCGACCAGTACGAAGAAGTGTTTGGATCTGACGCGGCAGACTTCATCAGAAGAGACTTCTATGTGGATGATGGTCTGACGTCGACTACCGAAGAGAAGTCAAGTGTGCAGCTGGTCAAGGACACGATCAGCATGTGCTCGAGTGGAGGTTTTGAGCTGCATAAGTTCACATCCAACTGTCCCGAGGTGGTGGCAAGTGTTCCCGAGAGCCGGCGTGCAAAGTCCTTGGAGCACGTGGACATCTCTGAAAGGACTGTCATTGAACACGCACTCGGCATGAAATGGAATCTTCAAGAAGACTCGTTCCACATAAATACGGACATCTCAGTGAAGCCGACAACCAGGAGAGGAATCCTCTCCATGGTCAGCTCCCTGTATGACCCACTCGGCTGGGTGGCCCCATTCACACTTCTAGGAAAGAACATTGTGAAGCAACTGTGCTGTGACGGGCGTGACTGGGATGAGCCTGTTCCGGACCACGTCGAGCCCCCGTGGGAGGAATGGAAGACGGACCTGAAGCAGATCGCAGACATCTCTATTCCAAGAAGGTACGCCTTCTCTGAGCACAGCCTGGCGGACTGCAGATGTGAACTGCACCACTTCTCGGACGCAAGCCTAGATGGATATGGAGCATGCAGTTACTTGCGTATCATAGATCAAGATGGATCAGTTACAACGTCACTGGTCATGAGCAAGAGTCGTGTCACACCGAAGAAGTCAGTGACAATCCCAAGACTGGAGCTGGCTGCAGCTGTGGTAGCAGTGAGGACAAGTGTCTTCCTGCGAAGTGAGCTCTGTCTGCCAAACCTCACCGAACACTTCTGGACAGATAGTTTGGCCGTGTTGGGTTACGTTCAAAACGAAAGCAAACGGTTCCACGTCTACGTGGCTAACAGAGTGCAAGAGATCAGACAGTTCTCGTCAGCCCGACAGTGGAGGTATGTCCAGTCAGCGGACAACCCTGCCGACCTAGTCTCACGCGGGATGCGGGCCGACAGTCTCAAGACGAGCACCCTATGGTGGGAGGGCCCCTCCTTCCTGAAACAGCCCGGAAGTCTTCCGGGTGGTGAAATCATTGTCGAGGTGCCCGCAGATGATCGGGAAGTCAAGGCGGCGGCATTCCAAAGCGGAACTAGTACAGGACAGCTGCCGAAGTCGTATGGTACGATGTCTTCAAGACTGTCGTACTTCTCGAGCTGGTATCGGGCGAAGAGATCAGTGGCCCTTTGTCTTCGCTACAGAACGCTCCTCTTGGAGAGGATCAGGTCCAAGAGTGGCGGCAAGTCGGAGAAATGTTCACCGAGTGGACCGAGAAGAAAATCAGATCCAGTCAGTGTGAAGGAGATGCAAGAGGCCGAGAAAGTCATCCTGAGAGCAGTACAGGAAGAGTGTTTTGTGAAGGAAATGAAAACTGACGCAACGAAGATGACTTCTGGAGTGACAGCAGACGGTACCAGCTCCCTGAAGCGGTTGAATCCGTTCGTTGCGGACGATGGACTGCTGCGCGCTGGGGGACGTCTCAGGAGGAGTAGTCTGCCCTTTGAAGTCATCCATCCAGTGATCTTGCCGAAGGAAGGTCAAGTCACGAAGCTGGTTGTCTACAATGCTCACGAAGAACTGCACCACGCAGGACGTGAATCGACTCTCAGTGAGATCCGGCACCGTGGATATTGGATACTCCATGGAAGGTCAGTGGTCTCGAAGTGCATTTTGGGGTGCATCCAGTGCCGAAGGATCAGAGGAAGTCCTTGTGGCCAGAAGATGGCGGATTTGCCAACTGAGCGAACGGAAATGTCGGAGCCTTTCGAGTTCTGTGGCGTGGACGCGTTTGGCCCGTTCTTCGTACGAGAGAAGCGCAGTGAAGTAAAGAGATGGGGTCTGATGTTTACCTGTTTCGCTTCCCGAGCTGCTCACCTGGAAGTGATCAGTTCTCTGACCGCTGACTCATTCATCAACGCATATCGTCGTTTTATCTGCCGAAGAGGTCCCATCAGGCGTATATACTGCGACAATGGAACTAACTTCATTGGTGGGAAGAACCTGTTGGAGAGCGCTCTGAAAGAAGAGGATCACAAGCGAATCGCTCAGACACTCAGTAAAGACAACTGCGACTGGGTGGAGTTCGCATTCAATGTGCCATATGCGAGCCATATGGGAGGCGTTTGGGAACGCCAAATCCGAACGGCGAGAACGGCGCTGACCAGTCTGCTGAGCGCTAATGGTCAACAGCTCGACGACGAACTTCTGCAAACTCTTTTCGCCGAGGCTGAAGCCATCATCAACAGCAGGCCCTTGACCTACTGTAGCATGTCCAGTAGTGATACTGTGGAGCCATTGACACCTCTCCAACTCCTCACCCTAAAATCAAAGGTCGTCCTTCCTGCCCCTGGGATGTTCTGCTCCGCGGACCTGTATGGGCGACGACGGTGGAGGAGAGTACAGCACCTCGCCACCGAATTCTGGACGCGGTGGCGACGCGAGTTCCTGCCGTCTCTGCAGGAGAGGCGGAAATGGCAGCGGCCAGAACACAACCTGCAGGAGGACGACGTTGTCATCATGGTTGATGACAGCCAACCGCGAGGCGCCTGGCCACTAGGCCTGGTTGTGGCGACGTACCCGGCTACGGACGGACTTGTGCGAAGGGTGCGAGTGCGTGTAAACGGTCAGGAGTATGACCGCCCCGTGCACCGTCTCATTTCTCTCATGAGACGTGGGCAGTGTGATTCCCAGTCGGGGAGTCAGTGAGTCGAGCAGCGGGGCTGGAGATTTCAGCTCGCGATCTTCGACGGAGCTGGAACAGAGTGGTTCGTCGAATCGGCCGTTGCGGTTTTTGCGCGGACTTTGGGCGAGTGCTGAGACAACGCGGCCAGTGATTGCGGCACCCGGCGGAGCGGCTGCAAAGAACTCAGCTGTGATGGGGTGTTTGCGGAAGTTATCTTTAAGTTTGTTAAGTGCGCCTCTGTGCATCCGGGATTTGTTCTCAGGATCATAAAATCCTCACCGGATTTTGGGGAGCCATGTTACCGCCGAGAGGGGGAATTGAAGGAATAGGAGGTGCCAGTTCAGTTTATTGCTTAGGGCATGCGAATGTGCAACACTTACCTGTGCATGTCTGCCTGCGGAATTTGCACTGCATGGGATGTTGGGACGTTTGCTTTGTGTTGCAATCGTGGCTGCCGGGTTTGCTCACACATGTTTTGCCTTCTCTTACAGTGCAAACGTGCTAAAGTAATTGTTCATTGATGACAGGCGTATTGTGGACCATTGAACTCCTTCATCTTGCAAACGAAGTACGTATCCATACGTTTATGTGTTAAATGTCTGCGGTCAACTGTGGCTACGCTATGGAGTCATTTGTTTTCTAATGAGCTGGCCACTACTTTGAATCGACACTGATCACAACAGAATGTTCAGCGGACAGTACAAAATGTGAATGATTGCTTGTGAATAATGTACAGTCAAACTAATCGCTAGAATGCTTGCGCGATTGTCTTGTCCGCATAGCTTCTTGCGCAGGGCTGTCGTGCATGAATCGTGCATGAGCACTGCATGAGCTTCATGTGACTGACGGTGCGTGATCTGTGCGTGTTTGTTGCAGCTTTTACGTGACAAATGAATGGACTACTGCTGCAATACATCACTGGGGCAATCCTAACTGTCCTTCTCTATTGATGGTAGTTGACGAAACGCGGTTACAGCTATAATTTTGTTAATCTTTCTTAATAAAATTGAAAACAAATTTTGCATTTCAAGAGAGAACAATCGTCATTCTTTTGGTATCTGTGACGCCAATCTCCAGAAATCTCCAGATTGCGTTCCAGCGCCTCCAGTGAAACCTCTGGTAGAGCCTCCAGTCAAGAATTTCTACTGGAGGCGCTGGAACAGGCCCTAGCTTGAGTCTAGTTTTGTGGAATGAGTCATATTATCTGATAAAAATAAAGTATTATCCTATATATGGCCTTGCATATTATTAAATTTCATTTTATGATGTTACAGTTAAAACAGTGAGCACCAGCTTAAGAAAATCAGCGAACACAACACGGTATGACATATAATAGTTTGGGCTAGCCGAAAATCACTGATCTCACAAATTTATTTGATTGTGATTGTGTTGGGCTTCACTCATTTCAGAATCCATTGCCGCTGCCTGCCAGACCGCTTGGAAGTTCAGTTGGAATTGAGTTGGAACAGCGTGAGAGTTCCGGTTAGCACTTGGTCCGCCGAATATGGTGCTTAACCCAAACCAACCAACGAACCTTTCAGAATCAATCAAATGTTTCGATGTGACAATTGTGCCTCCCAGCTGGTCCATAATTTTGAACCGTCAGTTGCTGTAAATAGTAATATTCGTATGATTCACTTATCTCTACTGCCTTAATCAAATAAGTTCAGTTTGTAACTACCTAGCGTACATTTCCTTTTTCGTCGGTAAGAGCATAAGTTTGGGCTGTCTGAGCAGTCAGCGGCCACCACTTAGGTAATACTAACAGCATATGGAATTTCCTGTTTGATTCGGTTTGAGTCAATGGGAGTAGCCAGTGCCATTTTAATTAAGTAAACGTGGTAGGTAGATGATTTAAGACTGTGGAGGCATGCTTAGTCAAAGTTTTACCACTAAATTCTAAACTACCAGGAGTTTCCTGATAAGGTCTTGGCAATTGGCATCATGCGGCATGCCTGTATAACAAGCTCAGTAGGCGGAACTATGGTCAAGCGTACCCATTTTCGGGAACGCATTTTTGTTCCCATGTTTGGGAACGATAAACCCAAATATGGGAACGCCATGTAGGCATTATTTAAAACAAGAAAAAGAACCGTTAAATGATGTCCATAAAATATAAAACGATCGTGAACCGCCTGATATTTGTCTCAATATTGTTGGGAAAGAGTTATTGATATTGTAAGGCCCATCGTAGTTTCAAATCGTTCCCCTATTTCTAAAGCAGTCCATCATCCGGGCCGCGAGCCCAAATTTGGGAACGCTCTCGTACACTGGCGCTGCAAGCGTTCCTTATTATGGGAACGGCGTACCCAAAATTGGGAACGATTTCACCGACGCCTTTCAGGGGCTCTTTTCATTAACAAGCATCACGTCCAACGCCGCAAATTATTGTTAACGCAACAATCATCAGATGACCTTTCCGGCAAGACCGTCGCATGTTTCGCCCGGTCTTCTGCGCTTTTATTCCCGTCGATCTCGCAGCGGGCACGCCCCCCTCTGCAGGATTACGTAATTCACAACGCTCAGCGATGTTCAACAAGGTCTTCCATACCTATATCCACCGTCCGCGCCGAGGGTGGAGACATGTCAAGCACCTGTCTGTTTATCATCGATAGTTGACGAGCACAAGGAAGTATCCAAAAATGGGAACGCTGAATATGTTACACCCTCAAAACACCTAGTCCCAATGAAAATCTAGTTTTTTCCTTTCTTGATGAGTGTAAGTGGCAAAAGGCCTGGTAGGATGGGCACGAGGAATGATCGAAATCAGCATAAAAATTATAAATAAGCCACACAGAGCGACCTATATAAGAGAAATTCCCCCAAAACGATCACGCTTAGAAACACGGAAGACAAAAACCACGCTCATGACGCTCTTTATAAAACAACTCTAAACAGCTAGCATCCAAATAAAATATGTGTTTCTGGGATGATAAAATACAGCTGAATAATTTTAAACCACTGAAACTGAGTTTACAACAGTAGTTCGGTAAAATCACTGACGTTCCATGCGGTTGTGCGCCCCGACACCAAATGTCACCAATATTACCCCCGGACTGTCCGCGTGTTCGCTTGCATATGTCAGCATCTGGTGTCGCTAGTATGAAACTTCATAACCAGGCGAAAATTATTATACTTGACCTCAAAATGTAAAAAACGCTTCATTTTCCTTAAAATTGCAAGTTAAATGTAGTATAACCCATGTTTTCACCATTCCGTCATTTCAAAAAATCATTAAAAATATCATTCGACGGTCAATTTCCTTGACGTGCAACGGTCAGATTAAAGATAATTTTATAGAGACTTAGTAGATACTTAAATTAGCGTGCACTTTTTTGAGACGTGATGCACTAATGAGTTTTAGTGGGCGAACGGCCGAAAAATTACCTTCCGTTCCCATAAATGGGAACGCCCGTTCCCATATTTGGGAACTCCGTTCCCAAAAATGGGAACGTTCCTATATTTGGGTACTCATGACCATAGTTCCACCTACTGAGCTTGCATAGGGCAGGATGGAGGACCAGAGCTGACATAGTGTGATGTCAGTTTTTCTTTTAAGTATTCAATCAGAAATGAACTTATAACATTACTTACCATATTTTTTACCTAAGTACCTATTCCTTGTTGTATTGATCCATGTTATGCTGTAGACATGCAGTTGTATTCTCATTTTGCAGTTATGATTTGTCAAAATTCTCCAAATAGTGTAGTCAAATAGTGTAGGTTCTCTTGTTAGTGCTTTTAATATGCATTCCTAAATCCTATTTTCTTTCATGGTTGGTTTGGAGTGAAAAGACCCAAAATCAGGTTTGAGGCTTTTCTCATTGCAATTCCATTTAAAAGAACTTGAATTGGCTGATCAAAATATGTTGGTTTATGTTCAGGGAATAGGTAATTAAAATTTGCCTCATTGTTTGCTCAAAATATCCAAAAATTGTATTTTCATACCCCAAAAAAAAATTGTAGATTAATGAGAAATGAGAATATTACATATTTTACTCCATTCATAAATCATAAGCGCTTTATTTGTTTCTACAAGTTAGCAATATGTGTGTTAATCCTTTCAGAAACAGTTCATCAGAGTTCTCAGAGGAGCAGTTTGTGCTGACATTGTCCTCTGTCTGCCAGGTGTGCTGACCGGCCACTGACCAGCTGTGGCGGCGGCCATGCTGCTGGCGCTGCTGGTCCTGCTGCTGCTGGCGGCGCTGGCCGGCGTGCTGCTGGCCGACGCGCTGGGTCGCCGCGGCCGGCCGTTCAGCAGCCTCTGGTCGCCGGCGGTGTCGGTCGGCGCGGCCCGGCCGGCCGGCTGTCTGCTGGTGCCGCAGACAGTGGACGCGGCGCTGGAGCGGCTGCTGGAGAGCCTGCTGGCCGAGCACCTGGCGCCCTGGTCGCAGCTGGTCAGCGCCGACCCGGCCTTCCTGCACGAGGTGCGGCTGGTGCTGCGCTGCGCGTGCACGGAGCTGGCGCGCCGCGCGCTGCGGGTGGAGCTGTCGGCGCTGGTGCTGCGCCGGCTGATCCCGGCCGGTGTGTGCCACCTGGACTGCTGTCTGCTGGCGCGCCGGCTGCATCGGTCCGGCCTGCTCTCTGACCAGGCCGCCTGGGACTACTACGGCCGGGACGCGCACGCGGCCGTCTCGGCCGGCGGCGAGGGCCGCTACCTGCGCACACTGGCCAGCCGGGTGACGCCGCTGCTGCTGGCGGGCCGGCCGTGCCGCGCCGGCGCCGGCGGCCTGCTGCTGCGCGAGCTGCTGGCCGGCGCCGTGCTGCGGCCACTGCTGGACCTGCTGGCCGACCCGGACACGGTCAACCAGCTGCTGCTGCTGCTGCTCTCGCCGGAGAAGCTGGACCCGTGCCCGGTGGATAACTCGCCGTCGGTGGAGCTGCTGCTGCACTGGACTCAGACCAGCCGGCCGCCGCCCGGCTCGGCACTAGCAGTCGATCTGTCCGGTGTGCTGAAGTCGGCGGATCTACTCTACGCACTAATGCAGTGTCTGAAAGAGCGTGGTGCCCTAAACCTAGTGCAGTTCTGTTTAGCCGTCGAGGAATTTAACCAGCGCATGCTCAACCCTGAGCTGAACGATGAACAGTTGCGCAATCTGTACACGGAGGCGTCGCACATTTACAACTCGTTCCTAAGGCCCGAGTCGGCCGATTTTGTGGGTGCTGACCGGTCCGCGTGTGAGCAGGTGCATGAGGTGCTCTGTGGACGGGTAGAGGAGATCACGCGTCTGCGCCGCATGAAGGCGCTGTTCGAGGCCTACGAGCAGGCCTACAACCGTCTGGAGCAGGAGCACATGCCCGACTTTCTGAGCAGCGGCCACTACCTGAGTCAGCTGTGCCGTCGGCAGGCGGCGGCCGGTCGGGCCGGCCGCGGCCGGGTGCTGCGCTCGGTGACTGCCGTGGCGCGCTGGGGCCGCCGACTGCGCGAGGCGCTCCGGCCAGCCGCCGTGGACGGCCAGCCGGACGATCAGTTCGAGCTGGGAGAGGAGTATGTGCCGGAAGAGGAGGAGGAGGATGAGGTGGACGCGCTGACCGGTGACCTGACCTGTGACCTCTCGGCCTGGACGGTGGCCGTGCCCACCGTGTGTATGGCCACAGACGCTGCCGGCAAACCGATGATTCAGTTTGTGCTAGAGGTGACCCGACCGACGGCCGACGGGCAGAACGGTGCGCCCTGCCGCGTCAAACGACGGCTCAACGAGTTCTACGTCCTGGAGAAGAAGCTGATGGAGTTTCACGGAGAGCTAGGCGACGTGCGATTACCGCCCAAACAGAGTCTGCTGGCCTCCAGTTTCTACACTCAGGACTTTCTCGACTGCCGCAAGGAGCTGTTCGCCTCATTCCTTCGCCGACTGCTGGTGCTGCCTGGTCTGGGCGGATCGCAGCTGGTGAGGGCGTTCATCAGCTCCGAGCAGCCGTTTGTGGACGACCTGCAGCAGGAGATCAACATCGGACGCATCATCCGCACCGTGCCGCGAAAGTTCCGCAAGGAGCGCGGCCAGAATCTGGAGCACTTTCTGTCGGGGCTGCTGAGTTCCACGGAGCCGGCGGCGCCGGGCCGGCCGCGGGCGCGCGCCGACTGCTCCGACATGGAGCCGGTGCTGTGGGCGCGCCGCGGCCCCAGGGAGGAGCCGGCCGCCAGCCGGCGGGCGCACACGGTGGCGCGGCCCAGCCATGAGTGCCCCCTCTCAGGCCTGTACGACACGCTGTGCTTCCTGGCGTGTCGGCTGTTCGAGGCGCCGCGCTGGCTGCTGGCGCTGCTGCGCGGCGCCCGGCCGCTGCTGCGCCACTCGACAGACGCGCTGGCCGACCGGCTGCTGGCCGCCGCGCTGGCCGAGGCGCTGGCGCCGCCGGCGCGGCTGGCCCGGCTGGCCGAGCTGGCGCGGGAGGCGCTGCTGACGCCCAGCTCGCCGCGCACAGACGCCGAGAAGGCGGCGCGCGCGCAGCACACCCTGGAGGCGGTACGCGCCGCCGTGCCGCCGCTGCTGGCCTCCACTCTAGGCGCGCACTTTGAGGACGGCACGCGCGCGCTGTTCGCGTGCCTGCAGCTGCCGCAGCTCAACAAGCAGCTGGCGTACGTGCTGCTGGACCAGGTGGTGGCTGAGCTGTTCCCGGAACTGTCCGAGCCCGAGCCGCCACCGCTGGCGTGAGCCGGTCCACTGCCTCTGCCGCCAACCAGCGCCTTATTCAGCTATCGCACATATCAGTCGTATTTATTTTGTTTATTTGAGATGCCCTTATTTTGCCAGCGACCTCAATTGATATCTCGGCGGGTCGATCTGACGTTGGCTGTTGTCTTCAATGGGACCGTGCTTATCGTGATCGCTATCGTGTTACCGCCAGCTTTATTCGACCAGCTCTTGTACCTGCGCATTGTGAAGATAGGTGTTTATTAAAGACAACGCATTCTGACTGCGATAGGCGTTCGTGTGACGCTGCGAGGGACAATATACGTATCTTATCGTACCTTTGGGTTGTCACAAAGAAAAATCGTGCAGCTGTCTCTCTCGACTGATATCTCTCTTGACTGATAGAGGCGCGGAATTTGACCGTGTTTATTAATCTGAATGATACAAGCTCGACAGATCAGGTTGTTACGAACCAGCAACCGTCACCCGCTTCCCGCTCGGACCCGCTCTTCGGATTAGTGCCGCGTCCGTCTCGGCTCACTCACTGGCGCGCAGCTCAATTATTACCGACTACACCGGCACCGCGCGGCTCTCTAAGCGTTCGCTGATTTGACTCGTCAATTTTCGAACTGGCAGTGTTGAACAGATACATAAGCTCGTGTTGAGGTGGCGAGCGCCGCAGTGTGGAGCGGCGCGCGCCCAGCGCCGCGGCCGAGCTCTGCCCGCCGCGCGCGCGCACCAGTCTGGCAGTGAACGACACTGTGCCGCCGCCGCGGGGGCTGCGGACAGACTACAAATAGCACCATGGTTCAGCGTTTATCTGGGCCGGCGCGGCCCGCACAGGCGCTGTTTTGTACAGCCCACATCAAGACCACTGTCACTAGAAAATATCACAAGAAGATCTAGGTGATCTTGATGCAGACATGGCAGCGCGAGACTCGCGAGCGCAGGTTTCCGGACTTGAGCGTCTCGCTGCGCGGCCGGTTGAACTGATCCGGGTCGTTGATGGTGGCCAGCCAGAAGGAGAACTTGTTGGCGAAGTAGTGGCACGTGCCGCGCGCGCCGTTACACTCGATGAACGGCGTGGCGCGGAAGTCCTCCAGACAGGAGCCAGGTGACGAGAGCGACTGGCCGCCGCCCTCTGCTCCGGCGGCCGTGTGCTGAGGGAGGGGACGGACAGCGTCAGTGCCGGCCACCGGACAGGACTCCGCCAGTGTGTGTACGCGGCGGACTGGATAGAACTGTTCGACCGATTCGGCAACAGTCTTGCTTCAGTCTTGTTGAAGTTAACCAACCTGAACCCTAAACATTCCTATCAGGATTAACCGTACATGAACTAGCAACTATATGCGAATAGTTGAAAACCGCATATTATTTTCAATCACCAAGTCTAGCAATCGTATCCCGCCAATTAAATTCTCCCCTCCAAATGCCCACAAGCAGCGGCCGACCAAACCATAAGCCTGTTTGGTGAGGACGGCGAAGCTGTGCCTAGCCCAGCTTACCATGGCGAACGAGAATCCGATCCAGAGTCCGCTCCATCCGGCGGGGCAGTCGGGGATGTTGAGCGACTGGCTGTGCACGGCGATCACGTTAGCCGGCGCCTCGCACACCACACACCTGGAGACGGTGGGCACAGGTCAGTCAGGGGCGCCAGCACCGCTGGGGATGAGTTGACACACCAGGAAGACATAACTGCTCCACACAACACCCGATCAGTCGACCGTGTATGAATTCTCTGCAAACCCGAGTGACATGGTTGACACCAACCGACACCTTGCGCACCTGCTGATGAGAATTCATAGTATACCGGCCTGCTTACAGAGTTTCATATTCATCCCTGATCACCTGACAACTCTGAACGACAAATCGTTGCGCCACGGTGGACAGCCTCTTCTCCCCACAGGATCCCGTTCCCCTTTCGTTCCTCTCTCATTGCTCGGTGTTCCCCTGTGGGTCAGAGCCCCTTCCTTGTTAGGCGGCGCCTCCTGTGGCACCCCTCCCCGGTCACTAACCTAGAGATGTACTGGCGGATAGCCGTGTCGGCCACGGGCATCATCGGGATAGGTGCGTTCGTCGACAGCCAGTACGACTTGTCGTTACGGCTGGCGTAGTTACAGACGTTATTCATATCGCAGAACATGAATGGCATCGTGCTGAATCGGCGCACGCAGGAGCCGGCGAAACCTGGCGACGGGGTGACGAGGTTATGGACAAATCGCACAAATTACAAATGGAATTCGCTCTCAAAGAGAAGCATACATACACTGTTACCCGATGATAGATGGAACATGACATACACGTTTATAAAGTTCAGCTGAGATGAAACATCTGAAACGCGCGTTGTTTCTCTCGGCTATGTCAGTATTAAACCTGGACATCTATCGGTGATCGTGTAGTTTATCTCCCATTAGGTTATTTCCATTTTGGACACCAAAACATCCTCCATTCCGAACATAGCCCGGCAAAGTTCATGGGTACTCCCTGGTCACAGCACATACCGCAGCCCTGGTGGTTCGGTGACCACTGGTCACCGGTCACAAATAGCTCACATACCGCAGCCCTGGTGGTTTGGTGACCACTGGTCACCGGTCACACACAGCTCACGTACCGCAGTCCGCAGCTGCTCTGGTGGTTTGGTGACCACTGGTCACCGGTCACACACAGCTCACATGCCGCAGCCCTGGTGGTTTGGTGACCACTGGTCACCGGTCACACACCGCTCACGTACCGAGATCCTGGTGGTTTGGTGACCACTGGTCACCGGTCACACACCGCTCACGTACCGAGATCCTGGTGGTTTGGTGACCACTGGTCACCGGTCACACACAGCCCACGTACCGAGATCCTGGTGGTTTGGTGACCACTGGTCACAGGTCACAAACAACCCACGTACCGAGGTCCTGGTGGTGGGCCTTCTCGTTGCCCTCGATGTAGAGCAGTGAGTAGCCGTCCCACAGTTTGGTGTGGCCCGGCTCACACTGGGGCACGGTGGTCGTCTGGCTATGTCGCACCAGCAGGATGCCCGTCAGGTAATCGGCCGCGGCCGAGCACGGACGGCCCTGGTTGCCCTTGGGTCCCGGCGGGCCTCTGTTGCCCTGCAGACACACACACACACACACACACACGTGTTAGCAGGGACTCTGTGGAATTTAGCACGTTGGCAGTAGCGATTCGGTAGAGGAACATGTTTATTTCATAACGCAAGGAGATAATATTGTTACCGAGTAGGCCGAATAATAACCATTCGGCAGCCTCACCTGGATTCCTGAGAGTCCGTCGAGTCCACGGTCTCCCTTCATGCCTGGCGGTCCGGGCAGACCCGGCAGGCCGTCGCGGCCGTTGCGGCCCCGGTCGCCCTTGGGTCCGGGCAGGCCGGCCGGGCCTTCCTGACCCGGCGGGCCCGGCAGACCCTCTCTGCCGGGCAGACCGCGCGGTCCAGGCTCGCCCTTCTGTCCGGGCAGGCCGTCCAGCGCCGGCTCTCCCTTCATGCCGTCGAGGCCGGGCGGTCCGATGGGACCCGGCGGGCCGGGCAGGCCGTCGTCACCGCGCTGGCCGGGCGTTCCTGGCTGGCCGGGCAGGCCCGGCGAGCCGGGGTCTCCCTTCATACCAGGCAAGCCCGGCAGACCGTCCCGTCCGTCCGTCCCTGTCACAGGCGGGAGCTCCGAGTCAGCACTCGCGCTGGCGCACAGACATAATTAGACACAGCAGGCCGAATTCACTGGCGACGTGCTCAAAGCACTCATCAACCGGAACACTCGACCAACATTGGTGCCATAGGCGGTGACGGTGAGGGATGACGGTGAGATTGTGTGACGGACTACGTTACCCTTCAGAGGACGAGATACCGTGGTCTCGGCGGTCGGGACACTCACCTGGCAGTCCAGGCTCTCCCTTGAGTCCGTTGGCGCCCGGCTGTCCGGGGGTACCGCGGTCGCCCTTGGGGCCGGGGGCTCCCGGCGGTCCGGAGAAGCCCGGCGGGCCGGGCAGGCCGTCCTCGCCGTCAAGGCCCGGCACACCCGGCAGGCCGGGCTCGCCCTTGTCGCCGAACGGTCCCGGCGGCCCCGGCTGGCCGGGGTTGCCGCGCAGGCCCGGCAGGCCGTCGAAGCCCTTGTCGCCCTTGGGTCCGGGCGGACCTTCGGGTCCTGGCCTGCCGTTGTTGCCGGGACGGCCCGGCAGACCCTTCTCGCCCTTGACGCCGTAGCCGGGCAGGCCCTCGAGGCCCATCGGTCCAGTCTCGCCCTTTTGTCCGGGTACGCCGTCCAGGCCGCTGAGGCCCGGCGCGCCCGGGAAGCCGCGGTCGCCCTTGTCTCCGGCAGGTCCGATCGGTCCCGGCAAGCCCGGGAAGCCGGGCTCGCCGATGGCGCCCTTGACACCGCGCAGGCCACGCTCGCCCTTGATGCCTGGAGGGCCTGGCTGACCGGGCCGACCGGCATCTCCCTTTGAGCCGTCCCGACCGGGTATGCCCGGTAGGCCGCTCGGTCCTGTAATCAGAACAGGGTGCCCGTCAGACTGAACGGTCAGCAAAGCGCTGAGCGACTGGAAACAGTGGGGTACAGCACATGCCGACTTACGACTAGTTATATGTGTATTTAGATTCAGAACCACTGGCGACTGGTTGTGGGTTTTGAATGAATAACAACGGACATATTGGACGACAGTACAATGAGAACTTTATGCGTATTGTGGTTGCTATTTAAGTAAATTATACTTTCAATAGTAACTAAGTCGATCGCAAAAAAAACATCAAGTTAAATATTTCCTGGATCATGATATACCTAATTACGTGACCTTAGGCTTACATCGTAAACGGTACATGCTTGATTAAACAACGCCAACCAGTGAAAAGTGGTTGAATAACCAGTCAAGATAGCCGACCCTCAACAGGAGTCTGCGTCAGACCGCTAACTGCTTCGCCTAGCCCTGTCGGCTCTTACTCGGTACTCGGTACTCGGTACTCGGTACTCGGTACTCGGTACTCGTGTTCAGCGCCCGTTTCTCGGTACCTATAACTCACCCTGCGGTCCCGGTTCGCCCTTTTCTCCGTCCAGGCCGGGGAAGCCCGGCTGGCCCTTCTCTCCCGGCAGACCGTCGCGTCCCGGCGGACCGCTGGGGCCGATGTCGCCCTTGAAGCCAGGAGTGCCGTCCAGGCCAGGTAGGCCCGGGGCGCCTTCCGGACCGGAGGGACCCTGCCGGAAGACACATTACTTCCACATTACTTCTGCTGTGGACTGTACAGTCCACAGCAGAAGTAATGTGTGGTTTCAGTCATGGGTATGTTCTGCTTCTGAAGCCTAGGAACGATTAGCCAGACTGCAACGAGACTTTAAGTGTAGCTTACATGCATCTTCACCCTTGCAGCTACAACTTTATCTATTGACGTCTTCTTTTCAATCAGTTCGCATTTAAAAATCGTCGGTCAAAGCCATCCGTTGAAATTGGTAAAACCACACATTACTTTAGCGGTGGGCTGTACAAATTAAGGTGAAGAATCACATTAACATGTGGCACCCAATGGTGGATCCTGGAAGAGCTAGTCATTTTCACAAAATAAGTTGCATTGAATATGCGAGGCCATTGAGTCAACACTAGGCAACAGACAGCTCGTGGCTTGTTTCGTGAAATATATCACCACTATGATCGCACCAACCAAGTGGTATGAGTATCAATTTCACCATAATGAACGGAAACATGCTGTTGTGTTGGTCACTGACCTTTTATGTCAGAGGTCACTAACCTCATAAGAGGTATCCGTGTTTTAACTGTACGTGCCGAGAACGCGATATTTTATCTGAGGAAATTTGAACGTTCTCTCGGCACAAACTGAACGGTGTTATAATTTGGTCTTTAATATGTAAGGCACTCGAATACAGGAATTAAACTAAACGAACTCTAAGTTACAACATAATGGCGACGAGGATGTTGAACTAATTAAGTAGAGTAACGTAACGTCAGATATCGAGTGTTATCATGATAATTTTTATTTAAGAGAAGCTTGGTGCAAAGTAACTTAACAGACGTTTGAGTGAGTTGGAGTGAGGCTGAACGGTGAACTGAGTCGTGACTGTTGCATATAATTGTGGATATCACTGTGGACCCGGAACAGGCCACAGCAAGTAAATATGGCGCTCAGTCTCAGCACTCCAGAGAAGTTCCATGAAGGTGAAGACTTCGATATATGGCTAGATGGATTTGAAGTGTACCTGTGTGCTTTAGGCATAGAAGAAGTGACTCGGAAGAGAGCACTGTTGCTTCATTTACTGGGCACTGACATCCAACAGAAACTAAAGGATATGGCTGAAATTGAATCCGATTCAGCACTGCCAAATGACTATGAACGCACCAAAGCAAAGCTGAGACGTATTCTTAAACCCCAGGTCCGAACTCTGTACGAAAGGAACATATTCCACAACATGACCATGATGGACCGAGATGAAAATATTAGAGATTTTGTGGGGCGCTTGAAGAAACAGGCAGAGAAGTGTGACTTTACTCGGGAGCAGAGAACTGAGCTCATTCGTGATATGATAATCTCACGGTGTCCGCACTCTTCGCTGCAAGTCAGAATGCTTGAGGCACAGCACCTGACGGCAGAAGATGCAATCAAAATGTGGGAGTCGTTTCTGCAGGTCCGAGTACAGGCAAAGAAACTTCAAGAGATGAATCTGACAAAAGAAGTCAATCCGAGTCCGGAGCAGGAGCCGAAGAAAGAAGGAGAGTCGGCCTACCGAGTCGTCGGTGAAAAAGGCCAGAAAAGTCCGTTCCAACACGGCGACAGAAAAGGCGGACAGAGTCGAGGCCCATGCTACCGATGCGGAAGGAGTTCGCACAAAGCGAGTGACTGTTTAGTCACCAGAGGGAAAACGTGCAACAAGTGCGGAGGCAAGAACCATTTTGCCAAGATGTGCAAAAGCCGCCAAGATGATGGACCGAGCTACAAGCGGCGAGTGAATGCCACAAGAGACGAAGTCGAAGCAGATCGGACAGTGAGTGATTTCGACGACTTTGCGTTCACGTCCGAGAGCAGCAGCGCTGAAGGACGTGGCACACTGACCTCAGTGCAGCTAAACGGTCAGACTGTGAGGGTTTTGGTTGACACAGGAGCCTCAGCAGATATTATAACAAGAAAAGACTTCAAAACACTGGTCGGTTTCAAGACAGTGAAGACTAACCGGCGTCTGCTGCCGTATGGCTCGAAGATCCCTCTGAAGCTGGATGGTCAGTTCTTGGCGACAACGGCGGTGAACGGCAGAGAGGTCCAGAGCTGCTGGCTGATCGCGGCCCACGGCCAAGTTTCGCTTCTGAGTGGAGTAACGGCGGAGCTGCTCGGACTGATATCCACCGGGAAACACGTCAATCAAGTAGCGGAGAACGGCAGCCAGCGCCTATCACTCGAAGCGATTCTGAAGGAGAACAAGGATGTGTTTGAAGACAAGTTAGGACAACTGGCTGACGTAAAGGCCCATTTGAGGCTAAAGGAAACGGCAGAGCCCGTTTTCAAGCGAGTCAGAACGGTCCCATATGCCCTGCAAGACCAAGTTGAGAGCGAGCTGAAGAAATGGGAAGACAGTGGAATTGCTGAGAAGATCGAATATTCTGACTGGGGAACGCCACTGGTGGTGGTTCCGAAGCCCGGAGGAGGCATCAGGATTTGCGGTGACTACAAGTGCACTGTGAACCCTCAGCTTGAGGTTCCGAAACATCCAATGCCAACCTTAGAAGACATTCTGGCAAAGCTGCCAGATATGAAGTTCTTCTGCAAGTTGGACCTCAGCACAGCGTATTTGCAGATGACGCTGGACGAAGAGAGCCAGAAGATGACGGTGCTGAACACTCCGAGGGGACTGCTGAAGATGAAGCGGTTACCATACGGGATAGCAGCCTCTCCAGCTATATTCCAAAGCACGATGGAGAAGGTGCTTGAAGGCCTTCCAGGAGTGACATGCTTCCAAGATGACGTCCTTGTAGCGGGACCAACAGAGGCTGAAACATTAGAGCGGTTAAGTGAAACGCTGAAGCGACTGAAGAAGTGGAAGCTCGTCCTAAAAAGGAAAAAGTGCGAGTTCATGATGAAGTCGATTCGGTATCTTGGAGTGGAACTCAGCGGTGACGGCGTGAAACCAGTGAAGGAGAAGGTGACCCCGGTGTTGGACGCTCCCAGACCTCGGAACACGGGCGAGTTGAGAAGCTTCCTGGGAGCTGTGACCTTCTACGCCAGATTTGTGGCTGCCATGTCGAAAGTGGCAGCGCCGCTGCACAGACTGCTGAAGAAGGGCCAAAAGTGGAAATGGACGGCGACTGAAGAAGCCAGCTTCAACGAGCTGAAGAAGAGGCTCACTCAAGCACCCGTCTTGGCACATTACGACGGACGGAAGCCAGTGCGTTTGATCACGGACGCCAGTCCGTATGGCTTAGGAGCCGTTCTCGTGCAGGTGGACGGAGACGGGAACGAGAGGCCTGTCAGATTTGCCTCCAGAAGCCTATCCACAGCCGAGAAGAATTATGCCCAGGTCGAACGGGAAGGGCTGGCCGTTATCTTCGGTGTGAAACGGTTCCGCCAGTACCTGTGGGGCAGAAAGTTCTCATTAGTGACTGATAACAAGCCACTGACAACGATGCTGGGACCAAAGACGCCAGGCCCTGCTCTAGCAGCTGCCCGAATGCAAAGATGGGCGTTGATTCTGGCAGAGTATACCTATGATGTGGAGTACAGAAAAGCAGCAGACATTCCCATGGCTGACTTCTTGTCTGTACTCCACATCATAGGTATACTCTGCCAGAATCAACGCCCATCTTTGCATTCGGGCAGCTGCTAGAGCAGGGCCTGGCGTCTTTGGTCCCAGCATCGTTGTCAGTGGCTTGTTATCAGTCACTAATGAGAACTTTCTGCCCCACAGGTACTGGCGGAACCGTTTCACACCGAAGATAACGGCCAGCCCTTCCCGTTCGACCTGGGCATAATTCTTCTCGGCTGTGGATAGGCTTCTGGAGGCAAATCTGACAGGCCTCTCGTTCCCGTCTCCGTCCACCTGCACGAGAACGGCTCCTAAGCCATACGGACTGGCGTCCGTGATCAAACGCACTGGCTTCCGTCCGTCGTAATGTGCCAAGACGGGTGCTTGAGTGAGCCTCTTCTTCAGCTCGTTGAAGCTGGCTTCTTCAGTCGCCGTCCATTTCCACTTTTGGCCTTGGCTTCAGCAGGTCGAGTTTGGTACGCATCACTCTCCCCATCATAGCTTCTGCCGGGGCGACTCCAGTGGTGCTGTGCTGGGTGTTTCGGTACATCATCAGGAACGATGACAGCTGTAGTTCCAGCGGACGGTCATCTCCGCTCAGAAGACATGCTTTGAGCTTCTGCTTGACTGTTTGCACCATTCTTTCAGCCAGTCCGTTAGACTGAGGTCGATATGGTGCGATTCGGATATGTTTTATCCCCAGCTTTGTCATAAACTCTTCAAACTCTCTCGAGGTCAGCTGCGCTCCGTTATCCGTCACAACTTGCACCGGAATTCCCCACCTTGCAAATATCTTGGAGAGCTCACTGATTGTTGCTTCTGCTGTGACTGTCTTCATGGTGACTATCTCTGGCCACTTGGTATGACTGTCTACTACGACTAGGTAATGTTGACCTCTGAAAGGTCCTGCGTAATCCAGATGGATCCGCTCCCACGGGTTCTTCGTATGTTCCCACGGATGTAGAAACACCGCTGGTCTCTCGTTTTGTCCAGCTTGACATCCTGCACAGCCTCTTACAGCTTCTGTCACATCTTCATCGATCTTTGGCCACCAAACATAACTTCGTGCCAACATCTTCATCTTGCTGATGCCTGGGTGGCTGCTATGAAGTTCACGGAGCACCTCGGCTCGCAGATTCTCCGGTACCACGACTCTGTTACCCCAGAGAATACAGCCACAGGTGAGCGACAGTTCACTCCTCTTTGCTTCAAACGGTTGCAGCTCGGATGGGATCCTTTCCGGCCAGCCGCTGAGGAGGTACTGTGCCACCTTTGATAGAACTCTGTCTCGACCAGTGGCCCTCTTGACGTGTTCACAGGTGAGTGGCGCCATCCTGTCCCACTGCTCCAGGAAGCACACTGAAGCTTCATCTGTGATCCTGTCAGTCTCCTCTGCTTCCGGAACTGGCAAACGAGACAAGAAGTCAGCCATGGGAATGTCTGCTGCTTTTCTGTACTCCACATCATAGGTATACTCTGCCAGAATCAACGCCCATCTTTGCATTCGGGCAGCTGCTAGAGCAGGGCCTGGCGTCTTTGGTCCCAGCATCGTTGTCAGTGGCTTGTTATCAGTCACTAATGAGAACTTTCTGCCCCACAGGTACTGGCGGAACCGTTTCACACCGAAGATAACGGCCAGCCCTTCCCGTTCGACCTGGGCATAATTCTTCTCGGCTGTGGATAGGCTTCTGGAGGCAAATCTGACAGGCCTCTCGTTCCCGTCTCCGTCCACCTGCACGAGAACGGCTCCTAAGCCATACGGACTGGCGTCCGTGATCAAACGCACTGGCTTCCGTCCGTCGTAATGTGCCAAGACGGGTGTGCCAAGACGGGATAGGCTTCTGAAGCCAAGGCCCGCCGACAAGGTGCTAAATGCACAGGCGAAACAGATGGAAAACGGCAGCAAAAGATTTCCAGAATACCAGTCTGGAGACAAGGTGCTGGTACGCAACTATGCAGGCGGACCAAAATGGAAGGAGGGCCATGTTATTGGGCGAACAGGACCAGTGTCCTATCAGGTGGCAGTAGACGGACTGACATGGTCCCGTCACGCAGGACAGCTGCTTCCGCTGGGACATGCCAGCAAGCCAGCCTCGAGAGCAGCCGATCCACGAGCAGGCTCATCCGAGACACGAATACTTGGAACTGAAACGGAGTCAAGGAGGAACAATTCACCGCTTCGTCAGCGAGTAACCGAGATGTCCTCCCGCCCAGTGACACGACAATCGGTTCCAGCTGAACCGCGACCACAAGAGGTCAGCAGGAGCAACCCAACTGATGACGACAGGGTCCCTGATACGGACACGACGCTGTCGGAAGCCGGGTCATCTGTTGAACATTCAAATGACGCTGAAAGGAGCACAGAAGGGAAAGATATAGCAGAAGATGGACACAGCGATGGAGACCCGTCCTCTGGCCAGGATGTTACTACATGCTCTGGCCGAACGAGGATATTCACTAGAAGTGGCCGAGAAGTACGCAGGCCTCTCCGTTTTCAAGCAGGGGAGCCATAAAGGTCACAAGCGGAGTGGGGTCACATTTTAGGGGGTGTGAGTTGTTGTGTTGGTCACTGACCTTTTATGTCAGAGGTCACTAACCTCATAAGAGGTATCCGTGTTTTAACTGTACGTGCCGAGAACGCGATATTTTATCTGAGGAAATTTGAACGTTCTCTCGGCACAAACTGAACGGTGTTATAATTTGGTCTTTAATATGTAAGGCACTCGAATACAGGAATTAAACTAAACGAACTCTAAGTTACAACACATGCCATAACCAATCGATCACACAACATAGCATGATGAAATAAGCGAAAACTTACGCGGTCTCCCTTCATTCCTGGGAAGCCGGGCAGGCCAGCCTCTCCCTTCTGTCCGTCTCGGCCGTCCAGTCCGGGCAGACCGGCCGGACCGGGCTCGCCCTTCGCTCCGGGTAGACCCGGCGCGCCGAACCCAGGCAGGCCCTTTTCGCCGGGCCGGCCGGGAGAGCCGGGCAGGCCGTCCAGGCCGGGCGGACCGCGCGCACCGTCCCGGCCGCGCTCACCACGCTCGCCCTTCTCGGAGACGCGGCCCGGCTCGCCCTTGGGTCCGGGGAAGCCCGGCAGACCGGTGTCACCTTTGAGTCCGGGCAGTCCGCGCTGCCCCGGCTGGCCGGGCACGCCCGGTCTGCCCGAGTCGCCCTTCAGACCCGGCAGTCCGTCGATGCCGGGCAGTCCGGGCTCTCCGGCCGGCCCCACCGGTCCCGGGAAGCCCGGATCGCCCTTCATTCCGGGCAGGCCGGGCGAGCCGTCCTGTCCCGGAGTGCCGGGCGGACCGTCGAATCCGTCCCGGCCGGTCTCTCCCTTCATGCCGGGCAGGCCCGGCTGGCCGGCGTTGCCCTTGGGTCCGGGGAAGCCCGGCAGACCGGAGCGTCCGTCCTCGCCGCGCAGACCCGGCTCACCTGTCGGGCAGCGGCGCCAGTCGCAATCAGCGCACGGTCAACCGGCACAGTCACCGCCAGTGGGCCATTCTGTATGATATCAGATTGTTGACAGACGTAGCTGACAGCAGTCATCGCCCCTAATAACTTTTGATAGATTTACATGATCACCAGTTAACTTACATAGTTACCACAACAAATGCAGTTTCCAGTGCAAACATCCACTGCTAAAAGAGCATTTTAACCACCACATACACAAATGAAAGTGCTCAATGGCCTTCACCGACGCTTACCCTTGGGTCCATCGTCTCCGGGCGGGCCGGCCGGACCGGGCAGGCCGTCGGGACCGGGGAACCCGGGACTTCCCTTCTCTCCGGGCCGGCCGTCCAGTCCGTTCAGTCCGGGCAGTCCAGGCTCGCCCTTAATTCCGGGGAATCCGGGCAGTCCTCTGTCTCCGTCCTGGCCGAGGCTGCCCGGTTGGCCGGGCGGACCGCGGTCTCCCTTGAGTCCGGGCAGGCCCGGCTGGCCGGCCGGGCCGGGCGTTGGCAGACCAGGCTCTCCCTTCAGGCCGGGAAGTCCGTCTTCGCCGGGCCGGCCAGGCAGCCCGTCCTCGCCGGGGAAGCCGGGCAGTCCCTCCAGTCCCATGAGGCCCTTGTCGCCGCGTGGTCCGGGCAGACCGCGCGGTCCCGGGGGTCCGGCGGGACCGATGGGGCCCGGAGTGCCCTCCCGGCCGTCCAGTCCGCGGTCGCCCTTGTCTCCCTTGGGGCCGGGCCGGCCGGGCGGCCCGTCCAGGCCGCGGTCTCCCTTCGGTCCCGGCAGTCCCTTGAAGATTTGTTGTCCGGGGGGAACAATGCGACCTGGGGGCACAGGCCGTAAAACGAGGGTCTCAGTCGCCGGAGAATGATACTCGTACAGCGACTGGCTGGCACCGAATCAGTCATACAGCAGACATAGCAGCACACGCAGCCCACACTTCACATACAAACTGGAAATCTGGAAAATACAAAACTTGCATATGTTATTATTTAATTAGGCCTAAACACAGGGCTGCATGTCCAAAGAAAGGAATGCAGGGGCTTTCACTGACTTCACTGATCGCTGGCGCTGCCAAGCAGAGTATCTGCCAAGTACATACCTACCTTTTACATACGAGGGTTAATTTCATCTAAAATGATCGTCTATTGATTTGCCCTCACGTCCTGAACGGAGTAAGGTCACACTAGTAAGTGAACTGCAGTTCACGGACGCGTCAAACTATGGGGTCAAAAGAGAGTATGGCCACGCTCATAAACCTATAAACATATGCCATTCCCCACCAAAATCCTGGCTCCACTGGTGATGGAGAGCTGGGGGACTCTTACCTGGCTCTCCCTTCGGTCCCCTGGTGCCCCTGCTGCCCTTCTCTCCGGGCAGACCCATGTCTCCGGGCTCTCCGGGCTCTCCCTTGATGTCGCGTCCCGGCAGGCCGTCCAGGCCCGGCATGCCGTCCCGGCCGGCGTCGCCCGGGAAGCCGCGCGCTCCCTTATCGCCCTTCAGTCCAGGCAGGCCGGGCGGGCCGGGCTGGCCGGGACGGCCCGGTACTCCCTCGCGGCCCTCGCGGCCCGGCAGACCCGGCAGACCGTAGTCGCCCTTGTCTCCCTTGGGGCCTCGCGTGACGTCCGGGGGCACCACAGCGTCCAGACCTTTGGGTCCCGGCGGCCCGGGCAGACCGTCCTGGCCGGACGCTCCCTGTGGGCAAACACGGACACAGGCCGTCAGTGAAGGCGCTTACACCGCAGAGTTTCGCTCCTACCTACCATACCACGTACAGCAATTACCGTCCAATACCTCTCTGCTGCAGTTTGCAGCTGAGTAAATATGGTTGCCGCAGTGTTGCAATGAAAACTGCGTGCTAGCATGATCAATGACCACTCAGATGGATCTATGTAGACAGTTAGTTACGCTCCGTCTGGCTGGTGGTCGCCACGTCTCACCTCCTTCCCGGGCAGTCCGGGCTGGCCGCGGGGACCATCCTCTCCTGGCTGGCCAGGCCGGCCGGGCGGCCCCTCGGGTCCCCGCAGTCCGCGCGCGCCCGGCAGACCGTCCAGTCCCGGCTCTCCCTTCTCGCCGACAGGACACTCGAGACACTGGTCACACTGGCGGCCCTCCTCGCCCTTGAAGCCGGGCTGGCCGGGGCTGCCCGGCCGACCAGGAATACCGTCGCGTCCCTTCTCTCCGCGCGGCCCGGGCTCGCCGGTCTCGCCGGGAATGCCGTCGATGGTGTCTCCGGGCGCGCCGGGAGGTCCCGTGTAGCCGCGCTCACCCTTCAGGCCGGGCAGACCGTCCATGCCGGGGTCACCGTCCAGACCAGGCCGACCCTGCAACGACGACCAGAGAAGCTTGGTCGGACCGCGGCTTTGGGACAGCACCGTCAACGTCGGCAAATATAGTATTTCTGGGGAGTGGAACGACGACTTTACGGCATTGGTGAGTTCTTACGTGCATTCTTAAAAAACTACTAAATAATATTTATGGAAGTTGATTTTGATTAATGAACACGACATAACAATGTTCGACCATATGAAAGATGCATGTGACTTAACGTGCACCAATTTTGGTGCTGGCTGGAGTTTGCACTAAAACAAAGCAAAACGTCGTTATCAGAATGTAAACAAATCATCGGGCGGATTACCATGCAACCTCATCAAAATATTAAGACATTCCCAGAGGAGAATGTCCCGGGAACTGTTGTACGCACCGGGATGGAGGCGCCCTTTTCTCCGGGCGTTCCGGGCCGTCCGGGCGGGCCGCGCTGACCGGGCAGGCCCGGAGGTCCCACCGGGCCCGGCAGGCCGTCCAGGCCCCGCTCGCCCTTGTTGCCCTTGACGCCAGGCATACCTTCGGGGCCCGGCAGACCCGGCAGACCGATACCTCCTGGGGGGCCTTCGGGTCCGCGGGAGCCCGGCAGACCCGGCAGGCCGTCCTCGCCTGGAAGGCAAAAGAAAAAGGGTCAATGACCTTCATCTTGATCTGGTCAGCATTGATACGCGGTATGGCTGGCCGTCGCCTGCCGCGGCGATCGGACGGCCAGCTAATGCCAGCTCAGAGGTGAAAACAAGATATTACCTACCATATTTCCCATCCATCTATCACCACTGATCAGTGATCAGCACTAGCAGAGTAACATGAATATCGCGTGCACTGCCGCCAACTACCGACATCTAGTGACTGAGACTGACAGTACACGTTATGCGGGACAGCATACATCACGGCGTCCAGCGAAAGGAGCATTGCGGCACAGTCTACTGTACGGCGTCAAACACTAGTGGCATCTAGCGGCAGGTATTGAAGGTAAGCAGCAAGTACGGTATATAATACTTTTGACTCCGATCGCGACAACCCGTTCAACTTTGGATGATAAATAATAGGAGGGAACCCCATGACTGCATTTTTTATGACTGAATTTCCGCTTCATACACGAAGCAAAGCGAACGGGAGCTTGACATCCAACGGCCAGCAATACATGTCCTCTCTCCCTGTTTATATAAATGAGCCGGCAATATCTGTTCTTTCTCTCCCTATCTAATATCCTTCCTTTCCTCCATGCCTGGCTCCTTCTCACCCCCTGTCGTGCCATGGTCTCACCCTTGGGTCCGGCGGGTCCGGGGAAGCCCCGTGGTCCGCGGTCTCCTGGCGGACCGCCGGGACCACCGCCGGGCGGACCCTGCGGTCCCGGCAGACCACGCACGCCATCCAGGCCGGCCGGCCCCGGATCGCCCTTCCTACCCGGCAGGCCGGGCCGGCCGTCCAGGCCGGGCACGCCAATGTCGCCCTTAAAGCCCTGAGGTCCCGGCGGCCCGTATGGCCCATCTCGTCCCTGGCGAGCAGGGGTCAAAATGCTGTGACCTGTGGTAATGACACTGGCGAAACATAATTATCATTGGTCTATCAATGAACTGCGGTATGCAGCATACTACATACATCATCAATTAGCTTATCGTTAATGATAGTCAAAAGGGCAAGTACATTTAAATCAGATGCTTTCGACTGGCGGAACTGACCACCCAAACAGAGCAACAACATAAAAACCACATTGTCGTAATGATAAATAAATCGAACACGTCATCTAGTTCAGCATAATCGCCCGCCAGATATTGCCTGGTTGCGTATTGCCGGTCATCTCTCGCTCCGCACTCACCCTGGGACCGGGTAGACCCTGCAGACCCTTCTCTCCCTTCATGCCCAGGTCTCCAGGCGGGCCGGGATAGCCGTCAGCGCCGGGAGGGCCGGGCATCCCGATCATGCCCTTATCTCCCTGCAGCACGCCGCGGACACACCAGAGGTCAGATCGCATCAGACAGACGGGGCATACACGCCACCCAACAGTGTAATCGGTATGCAGCCTTCAGAACATCTGTACGGTTTTTAAATGTTTAGGAACACTTAAGCGACAAATTCAAATAAATGTACATATTACATACAGCAAAGTTAAACGTAACTGTTCAGTGAATAAACGCTGAAGAGTTTAAAGATCGTTTGAGTTCAGTTTAAGTTATAAATAAAGAGCTACGCAAATACGAGTAGTTTTTAAGTTACGTAGGCGCTCCAAGCGCCGCAAAGTTGCCACTTACCTGGCTTTGCTAGACCTGCGAGGTATAAATGGCTCATGTCAATAAACATGTAAATGACGCCGAAAAGCAGCACGAGCAAACAAGCACAAAAGCGAGCATGCAGGATGCAACACGTACTTTTGCTTAGGCTGGGGCTATAGAAGGCCTTGGGTTGAGGTGCCCGTTATTTGCTTGAAAGCTTAATTCCGTCATCACATTTCCCGAAAAAATAACATTTCAAATCTTCCCTGATCTTCCTTATAATCAGAGTCACAAATGTTCCTTTGAAATGAACGGGAAACCACTTCAGTAATTGTGACTGCTGATAAGTGGAATGATACAGAGCATGTTAAGAATTTAAGATACTTCTAAGAAAACGGCTGTACCAAACAATTGGGAATCATTGATATATTAAATATTTACTAATTCACCTTTAGATAAGAAAAACATCAATCACCCTCGTTAACAACTTAGCTAGAATAGAATTATTTCTGAAGCTAAACCGACAACGGACTCATCAATGCACTGACTATTTTGGAATACCTAAACTGTTCTGCAATACATGGAATCGAAAGACACGAGCATAATCGTTCTAAACTCTGTAGCAGCAGATGATAGAGGGCGTCATAAATCAGAACCAGGATCGAATTGAGATTTGAGATAACTATAACAATAATTATAAACCAGTATAACGTCTTTTGGGGCGACTAACGGAGCGAGCGAGAGGGTGGGCCTTGCACGTGCGAAATTGCGAGGGGGTACTTCCAACTGACTTGTACACGGCACCCTACTAACCGGTCTCTAGCGATGTGCCAAATTTGGGCACAATCGGCCCAGCCGTTCTCGAGATCTGGAAGCGGCACCCTGCACGTGCGCACGTGCAAAATGGGTCCCAACTGACTTGTGCACGGCACCCTACTAACTGGTCGCTAACCGTGTACCAAATTTGAGCGCAATCGGTCGAGCCGTTCTCGAGATCTGGAAACGACCCCTGCACGTGCGCACGTGCAGCAGCACCCCAACTCTGGCACATGTATATGCAGTGCCTAGTGGGTGCCTACCTACATGCCAACTTTCAGCGCAATCGGCCAAGTAGTTACCGAGATATTGCAACAATTACAAAACTGACACCTCTTCGTTTTGCACGTGGCACGTGCATAAGGGGTCACCCACATGCATCGGGAATAGTCCAATACTTGGTAGAAGGAATGAAGCTACCCTACAAAAATTACCGCATGTAAATCGGTCAAGTGGTTGCTGAGATATAAGCCTCGCTAAAGCGTCCGCACGGCCGGCCGGCCGGCCGGCCGCTCATACTCAGAAATTTCCGTTATTCTACCTCCGCTCGCTTCGCTCGCTCCGTAATCAGGCTCTAAGGTGTGCAAGGGCGTGCAATTTCGTTTGGTATCCATTTATCACACAAAGCATGAGACACTGAACAGATGTCGATGTTTAATCACAGAAGTGTGTCACTTGAAAATGTGAAATGTTGCACATAAATCACAAAGCGTCTAGAATATTTTCATTCAGGGGATCTCAGCTCTATGCTCGGTAACTCTAAAATCTAAAAGCATATCAGCTACAGACTGATGCTCGGTTTCACACCGATCTTTAGTCACGTTCCAGACGTATGCAGAGTTGATCATTATGTTCTACACAATTGAGTGCTGAACTACAATGCGCATTGCACAGCGAAGCTCAGTGCTGGTATTCTATGAGATCACACAGACGAGCGGGGAGGCGACGGGTTTCGGAGTGCCGTGAGGGCCGTGCGGTGCGCGCGGCGCGCCATGCTCCGGCGGCAGCTCTGTCAGGCCGTTCACCTGCGGTCCCGGCGGGCCCCGGCGGCCGGGCACCACCGTCGTCGTGCAGTTGGCCTCGAACGGCACGGGCAGGAAGCTGGCCGGTCCCGGCGGGCCCGGCTCGCCCGGCTCGCCGCGCGGCCCGATCACGCCGACACCCATCTCACCCTTGGCACCAGCAGCTCCCGGCCGGCCCGGCACGCCCTGGACGCGACAGGTCATACAAAGCGGCACCCGGTTAACAGCCATTCTGCAGCCCCGCCACTACCGCTGCCGACCCCGCTGCCGCCTGCTGTCGCCGCCGGCGTGGCCCCACCCGCCGCTGCGGCGGCGGCGGCGGCGGCGACCTGCTGGTGTTAATGCTGGTCGGGCTGCCCTCTGCTGGTTAACGCAGCCCGGCTGGCCGGCTGGCCAGCTGTCCCCTGCTGCTGGGTGTTAGTCTGCCCGGACGTCGGTCATCCACCGGCCGCGGCACCCGTTAGTAATACGCCGTCCGGTCTGCCTCACCTTGGTCGCCACCGTCCCCTTAGGCTCCTTGGCCTCCTGCTCACAGTCGGCACCGAAACAGTTGGGAGGGCCGCAGGGGCCGCAGCCGGGCGGACCCGGCTCGCCCTTCTCACCGGCCGGCGCCTCTGGACAGATGCCCATGTACCCCTTGAGTCCGGGCTGACCGGGCGGGCCCGGCCGACCCTAGAGGCCACCATGGTAATTCAGAACGGTCAGAAGGCTGAATTGGGCATCGATAGAAAGCTTAGGACTGAGGTGATCGTTTCAAGCACATCGAGACTATCTAGAGAAGGTTCTGTAAAATACAGGAAGACTATACGAGCAGACATACTTCCACAAAGACACAAGCATACACATAGACCAAGACAGGCGGGTTGACAATTGACATGGAAATTAGACCATGTAGGATGCGGCAGAAGCAAGACGGGATATGGGGCAAATGCCAAGCAACACCTCATGCAATGCTTCCAGCGTCAGAGCACAAGCACAATCGCGCACAATGACTGAGGGACGAACAAACGAACGAACGAACGAACGAACGAACGAACGAACGAACGAACGAACGAACAAACGAACGAACGAACGAATGAACGGACGGACGGACGGACGGACGGACGGACGGACGGACGGACGGACGGACGGACGGACGGACGGACGGACAAGGTGGCGGCTGACCTGATCTCCCTTTCGGCCGGGAAGACCCCTCGGGCCGACGAAATTCGTACAATTGCCCTCCTGGAAGGGAGGACATATTCCCGGCTGGCCCGGCGTGCCCGGTTCTCCCTTCTGGCCACCTTTGCCTTCAAATCCGAGGCCCATGGCGCCCTTCATGCCCGGCAGGCCCGGGGAGCCGGGGAGGCCCTGACGCGACGAGCGCAGCCGGTTAGTATCGCTGACAACAAGGTCAACCATGCGTCTGTACCGGTCAGTAGGTGGCGAGCATGCCAAAATTACTAAATGAGATGCAATGATAGCAGGTTTCAGGGCTCAGGCTGTTATAATACATTAAAAGTCGACTCTGAAAATATCATGCAACACCGCTAAGGCCGTTCAACTAAGAGCTCAGTTGGGGGTTTTACACAGCAGCTATCACATGCATGCAGAACGCAGGGCGGTGCCGCACACTGAGGAAACGGTATATGTGGGCATACAAACATCAAACATGCGTCATTCTCCACTCGCATCCATTAGTGAAATCCCGTTAATCTCCATTTGTCTGATGGCTAGAGCCAGCCCAGGTGTTGCAAGTTTCGTCAGCGCGACAGTTTGGAGCGGCTCCAACGCAGCCCCGTGACCCTAGCTGGCCGGCAGAACGGGACGGGACAGGGCGCTCCCGCGGTGGGCTCTGCCACCGGGGTAGGACTGGCAGACTGCCGGAGCCGGGACTGGGCCCAGGTGCCAGCGACTTTCAACACAAACAGGCCCGGCCGAGTGAGTCACGGGTACAGACAGGTGGCACAGGTCAGTCGTCCGACCGAGAGGGTGGCACCTGGAGACACCCGGCGACTGGTCAACTGCCGGTCGGTGCACTCGGCGCTGAATGAGTCACAGCTACGACAGGTGACGCAGTCGCAGACACGAAGAAACACAGACACCAATCATCAGATCCGAAGGCTGGCCGATGGGTCGCGGATGTACCTACTCAGAGAGTCCCTCAGCAGGTCAGCTACAGGTCAACGGCAGGTCAGCTACAGGTCAACAGCAGGTCATCCTGCCAACGCGGCGAGCGATTCACAGGCACACAGATTCAGAGACCCCCCCCCCCCCCTCGTCAGGTCCGACAGGGTTCAGCACTTAGTCAGTGGTTCTACCGAAGACACTCAAACTCCATTCGGGCAGGTCGTCTGTAGGCTATTCCTCCAATAATATCCGCTGCTAAGACATCAATAAAACTAAGCTGACAGCTATAACCATGGCACGACTTATCTACATCGTAGCTCATTATAGGTACTTTTTTGTCATCGCATAATCGTAATCTGTTTCGGAAAGAAATCCTGAAAACGTTAATGAACAAAAAGATAAAAAAACAATACCTACATTTGCTAACAGCACACGTCGACTTCGAGGTTGTACGGTAAACATTTGTATAGAAAGAAATTCGAATCAAGCTAAGTTCCTGACCAGACTTTCTCACCGGTAGGTATATGAGCACACACATAAACAACCAATAACCCTCATTTAAACTAGTGCAATGTTGCTATAACCGATCGACTCGAGACCGGTGGAGTTACTTACGGAGGGTCCGCGTGGTCCTCTGTCTCCCTTATCTCCTGACTCGCCGACGGCGCCAGGCCGACCGGGCATCCCACGAGTCCCGTCACGACCCGGCTCGCCCTTCTGGCCCTTGATGGCCCGGCCAGGGTTTATCGCTGAGTCTCCCTTGTTACCTGAGAAGCACAGCGTCGGGTGAGGTCAGCGCAGACCGGAGAGTATGAGGGAAAGGATCGTAAAGTTGTAACGAAAGCAGTAGTAAACCTGAAGGTTGGCCCCGTCATTTCAACGTCAGCTCGAGCGACTTCTAGTGCGCTGGAAGATTTTGGCAGGCCCAGGTTTATCTTTTTCTGAGCTCAGCCAAAAGAACAGGGCTATGAACACTACACACGACAGAGTTCCTCACACTGACACTACCAACATTAGATCCACAAAACCAGCCTCGGGTGATTTAGACTAGCTTCGCGGGTCACTGGGAATTGGGCGGAAAATGGCACGGAATGTCGTATGGCATGGTCTCAATGGCATGTCCGCCAGACTCTCTGCCGGAAACCCCGTCAACTGGGGCGAGACGCACTGGCGGAACACGACTGCACAGAAACACGGTCATAGGAAACAGTGCGACTAACATGATAAACACAGTAGGCCGAGGGAAGAGCCTGGGAAGGGTAGGACCAGACTGGGAGCGGGACTAGGAAACTGAGGGCGGTGACCTGAGGTCAGGTGTGGTTTGTGGGTTTCTAAGAAATTACGCCTTTTCCAACTTTCTCCCCCGAAATATCTCCGTTTTTAAAGCTCCGATTTTCGAGAAAACGTGTTTCTATACTTGGCGAAGGCATGTTCAGGTTTGAATGCCCAGGTGGCAGTGTCGGCGGCGTCGGCTCAGGGCGGAGCGCTCAGCGGTGCTCCCGGTGTAAGGTAGCGGGCGGAGTACGCCGCCGGTGCCACCGCCGACCAGTCGGCACCCTCTGTTTATCCGCAGCTGCAGCGAGCCGCTCATGTAAATGTTTATCTCCGGTCTGGCCGGCGGCACCGGCGGCAGAGGCGGCCTAATGGCGCGGCATTCCTCTCCTCCGGCGCACGTCTCTGCTGCGCCGCCATTGCCGACCGATCTAACAGGACGGTGACGTCATAATCGGTGCCGACAGCAGCGTCCGCAGACGCCGGAGAACAAGGCCGGCCGCCGCCGACAGGGTCAGCGAGAGCCGGAAACAGCGTACCGGACACCGGTGACAGGTCACCAGTCATGAGTCAGCATGGACTCGAGCACAAGTTAACTTTGAAAATGTTGCTTTGATGTGGCGGATATCTATCGCACCTAACAAGCAATAGATACCATTTTTTTTTCACCAAATGTTAGCTTACATAAAGATTTCACCTGCATTTTTACACCATGGACACTTACCCCCATGAGCCAAATTAAGATTAAAATTCCAGTTATGCTGACATGTGGGGTTTTTGATATAATTTCGCCACTTTCACTTTTGAATGGGGAAACTACTTTCATTTGTAAGACATGTTACGGTCGCACGATTTAGGCTATTCGGCGGCTGTGCCTATTGAGGTGCGTCTGAATGTCCGGCCGGATCTCATTCAAACCACCACCAGCACTATACCAGAAATGGCGGCTGGCTATATAGGCCACTGCTCTGGCCTAGACGAATCGGCCACTGTATACATATACACGGGCCGTTTTACTGTATATGCAAACCGACCCACTTAGCGAGTATCGCCAGTCCGCGGGCCACACACTAACAGACAGGGACACGCACGCTAACGCTTTCTGGGGCCCAGTCGGCGGCCACTCTCATGGCAGACTCAGTGGCCCATGGGACAGGGAGGGGCCACGCACACTCTCTGTCTCTGTTATGAACAAAAAAGCCAAAAGGAACAAGGATGTCAAAGAGCGGTAGGAATGTTATTTGGGCTGTCAATTAGAAGCACGTATGAAAGAACCATGCTGCGATGACAAGATGAATGAATATATAGCTATTGAAATATTGGTATATAAAATAATGCACGATGGAGTATGCACCACGAATTTGAGCTTCAAACGTTATTGTCAAAGAGGCGTGCACGTGAAGTGTCGTAGCTTGTTTAAAAGGCAATTTCAATCAGCACTATTTCAGACCGAATTTTCGGCCTCGGTTTCCATTACGGAAACGTAAATAAGCACCACCGATCGTTGCATCGGACGGTACAAGAGAGCCGGTCTGTCATCAGTGACTGCAGACCCGCTAAATGTTTGGCAGTGGAGAGGGGACCTACGAAGGCACGGACTATAGACCTAGCTCAGTGGAATAGTCGGTCCGTCGAACAGTTCAGCTACCAGGAAAAGACGGACCACGAACTGATAACATATCACATTTTACAGTGGCATAATCAGGAAGAGCCAGGAGCAGGCCGATCGCCGCTCGATAAAGGCCCATCTCAGGATTCAGGATAGTAAGCACACACCTGATCCGTGGCATAGCCGCGGGCAATATTACTTGTTGAGATCTTTACCCCAGGGCTACAGTGGCGTCACATAGGGCAATATTTTTTTATTGTTGTCCCTACCCCTTACAGTACCTATTCATTTTTACGTGGCCCGCTCTAACTCGCGAATAAATGTCGCTATATATAAACGTCGTTGTATAAACTCGTGAATAAATTTGTCGTCACTCAGAAGAAAATTAAAAAGGATTTAAACAGGCGCGGATTACTATTGTCCATTGTCATTGTGTCATTAACAAAAACATGAAATCCCGGATAATAAAATTAAATGTAAAAATGGCGCTCAACGGTCAAAATTATCACATACCAGTTTACACACGAGCCATGTAATAAAAGCGTAAGGCCATTGGCGACGAAATACCGTTTGCAAATAGCCCGCCATGTAGTATGCGGGCAATGGGATCCGTTGAAAGTATGTATAGTTATGCTGTGTACTGAATGTGGACGTGCATTTGCGTAGTTTATCAAAACTTGCAATGCCTCCAATACAGGTTACCAATCTCTGTCACTCGGGGCTGTGTAAATGTATGCTACTGGTTGTGCACTTGGCGTAAACTAAGTAGAGACTCACCCTTTGGTCCCGGTACTCCCGAAAAGCCAGGGGGTCCAGCCGGTCCTGGGGGTCCCGGAAATCCAGGGGAACCCTGCAACAGTCAGTCAATGTGACACAATAGACATTCGTAACTCCCACAAGGTTTACCTGTCTCATCAAAAACAGAGTTGAGGCTAAACAGCTATGGTAAAGTGAAAAAATCACATCAGTCAAGATATCACTGTATCTTACAGTCAGTCCGCGCATCACTTGTGCTCACGTCAGTCCAGTCCATACATCACTGTATTCCCATCAGTCCGTAAATCACTGTGCGCACGTCAATTCACACATCGATGATGGTGATGATGAATTGGGGTTTTTGGGCGCCGGACTACAGTGGTCATCGGCGCCCATTAATTCACACATCATTGATGTCAAGTCAGTCCATCTTCATCACTGTACTCACGTCAGTCCATAAAGCACTGTGTGCGCAGCACGTCAGTCCTTAACCCTCGCCCTGGCAGGGCATTTTTCATAACACGGCCTGGCAGGGGGGGGGGGGTCGATGCGACCCCCCCTCGCGATTGGCTCCTATGGCACCTAGAAACACCAAATTTGGTAGGTAGGTGGGCCCTCTGGAGTTCTCGCCCCTGTGCAAATTTGGTTGCTCTAGGTCAATATTTAGGGGGGTTTTGGGGGGTATAAATGTAAAAATTTCGCTAAAAACAGGTCGAAAGTTTTTCGCTTACAACTTTTGATCTAATTAAGATAGAGAAAAAAGAAAAGCACCAGTGAACTCAGCACGTCAAGGCGCGTCGAATGATATACTTTTCAGCTTGCTTAAGTGTACTTAAAGTTTTTCTTAAATTTTAAGTTAACTTAAATTAATAAATTAAGTTCAAGTTAACCAAATTGCATCATATCGCATATCATTCGATTCAGCTGATCACCAGGAACACAATGGTACCATTTTTTAAGCTCTAGTGTCATTATGTGCCAAGTTATTGGCAAAAACGTCATTTGACCTCAGTTGACCTCATTTGACCTGACCCATGGATAAGTACACCAAACAAAGAAGCACCAAGTGACCTGCTGTTAAGTACCGTGGTTTCAAAGCACAAAAGTGATAGAACGAAGCGGATATCTCCAGTATTTTCCGAATTTAGTATTTTCCCATAGGCTTAACATTACGACGTAATGACCTCTAACTGACCTCAGGTCAGTGACCTAAAAAAAGCCGGACTATATGTTATACAACTCGGTGAACTTAGCACATCCTGAAAGTTTGAAGGAAATCAGTCGAAAACTGTGAGTTGGAGAGGTGCAAAAAGAAAATTGAAATTTGACCATGACCTTGTACCGGTTTTTCTGACCTGGTGACCTGACCCAAGGTCACCCGGACCTGAAATTTTCAGGTCATATGTAAAAAGGTTGCCCCATAGGCTGTGCCAAATTTGGCGGCGCTGCGCGCCGCCGTTTTTACGCTATCTTTGAAAAACCTTAGGGGGGGTCGCATCGACCCCCCCCCCTGCCAGGGCGAGGGTTAAGTCACTGTGCGTACATCAATTCAGTATTCACGCATCACTGTTTCTAAGTCAATCCACCTACATCACTGTTTTCAAGCCAGTCCACCTGCAATCTACCGTACTCACGTCAGTGCCATTGCAGCCGTCCAGTCCGGGGAAGCCGCGTGGGCCCGGTTCGCCCGGAAGACCCGGAATTCCGTTAATTCCGGGGAATCCCGGCAGACCCATTTTACCCTGTACAAAGACAGGGTCAAACGGTCAGACGGGGCCAGGCCGAGCAGCGCCTGGTAACAGAATGTGCCGACATAGCTTGCCCGCTCAATATAGTTTATATGATGACAGAGTGATAAGAAAGGGCCAAAGCCTCTTCAACACACGTCTAGACTTCGAGTGGATGCAACGCCCAATTCTTCCGCACACTACACGGAGCGCGATTGTCTATCAGTGACGTCCGCGGTACTCACCCGGTCTCCTTGGAGCCCTCTGGGGCCCTGCGGGCCGGTGTCGCCCTTGCTGCCCTTGGGTCCGGGCAGGCCCTCCATTCCGGGGAAACCCTGCTGGCCCTTGGGTCCAGTGGGCCCCAGCACTCCGGGAGGGCCCTGAAACGACAGATCACGTCATGGGCTGGTATACAGTGGGCACAGCAGGATGAGTTTCAAGGCCAACAGTCTCTCGCCCCGGCTCCTCTCAGTGCTTCACGAATTCGTGACTTCACCATCTGTTAGTGACCAAACCGTTTTCAACCATACAATCAAAACGTTTAAAAAAAGCGTAAACCTAAGCGGCTTTTTACGGTTCAGAACGGACTTTTCATAAAAAAACGAAGCATTATTGCCCTACCTTCCCAGTATAGGTTAAAGCGAAAAAGTGCTTCATGTGACTAAAACTATTCAATGCCAAACAATAAACACATCAGTTTCAAAGAGCTGGATACAACATTCTAAACTGAGCGAGCTTTCTGTGAGCGTAAATAAGGTCACATGCACTGTGCGATTTTACACCCTGCAAACAATGACGAGTGACGACTATTGATAGCCACCCGAGTCCTTGGCACTTGTGAAAGGGTTATATCAACGGCACAGTGAAGTGGGTCTCGTTGCTATGGAGGCTCACGATAGTAATACACAAACAGACGTTGTCCTGCCCACGTACGCAGACGATTAAGTTTCAATGCATTATTTTATCTGCGCCGGTAAAGTACAGAAATATAGGACATGTACTTGATGACGTGCATGCAAGTTGCAGAGTCATCAGTCATCACTTATTAGAGTAGCGTCAATAAACACATCGGCTTGGCTGACTGGTTCCAGCCAGCCTATCGCTCGATGTGCCATCAGCGATTCCATAGGATCACCCGAACCAATATAACTTGACTGCCTGTAAAGTGGCACTTTTATCGGTTCCTTCAGTGCTGTAATTTGGCGGTGTGCAAAGGTGTGAAAGAAAGCTTATACCTACGCTCTGCAGCCCAGCGCTAGTGGCCGGCCTTCCCCCGATCCCCAGCAGCCAGTGGGGTGGCTGGACGCTGCAGGACGGCCCACGCCGTCGGCAGCACGTGAGCGGCCATCGGCGCTCACAAACTCACCCGGCTGCCCTTTTCGCCGACACATTTGCAGCCGCCGGCGCCGCAGCCGCCGGCGCCACACGGCCGGCCCGTTCTTGGGTCAATGTCCTGGTCTATGTCCGTCTGACCTGGCCGAGACTGGTAGAAACCGTACCCGATGTTGTCGTTCCGGCCGCTCAGTGAGTATTGCTGTAAGAAGGACAAACATAGTGGTCAGCGACACATGAACAAACTCAAACAATGCGTTGCGTACTGTGCGTGCGTAAGAGTAGGTACGTAAGATTTCGCAAGAGTTGATGGATGATCGTCTAGTGGGCATCGTTACGCCATTTACAGTAATTCACGCAATCCGGCTATTTTCTAAGTGACGGTATCGAATATTGGTATACTTCAGAGTTCACAGCTCAGACTTCACAAGATAGATTGTTACAGGTTTCCGGATCCAAAAGTCAAATATACAAAGGGGAGCCATGTTTCCGCGAGTACTGCCTGCGCCTTTCAAAGCAGCGTGGCTCGGAAGAACGGACGAACAGTCGGCTTCGGTGCCGTTTGTGAGCAAGTCCTGGTGTTTATATCTAGGAAGACACGGGACAGGGAGCGGTGTGAGGTCAGAACGGGAGCGCCAGCTGACGTAACCCCTTTCAGCTAAGGCCGAGTCACACCTGCGTTCTCCAGTCTTCCACGTTTGACGCTTCCCAGACCTCCAGTCACGTCACCCAGTCAAAAACCGGTCTACGTGGGGCCTAAACAATCAGTTATACCGACGCTTGTGTGCTTGAGCAAGCCAGATGAATGAATTTTATCTGGAGCACACAGCGTTCAAAAGGTGCTCCGGCGGGCATAAATGCCGTGCCGCAGTAGGATATCTGTACTTCGGGGAAGTAAGTAGTCTTTATATGCCGGATGCCCTCTGGGGGCGCCAACTAAATAGGACGGCCTACTTAGCAGATGATAAGTAGGCCCTGTCGCAAAAGCACTGGTCCTATCGCAAAAAGCACTCGGACAAGCCACTTGTTGAAATGGACAGCTACAATGGAAATTCATTTTCCTGTAGACGAATGAGCAGTCGCTCTTCAGTTATCTCGTTGTGCCCTTGATTCGGGCTTTGGGTGGAATGTTCGGGAAGACAAAGTCCAAGGTAGGCGCAGAGGCGAGTCATCCCGGGATGGTCTATGGATTTGTGCCGGTCGGACGGCGTGGAGCAGCTCACAGAGCGCCTCAAACAGCCGCCGAGAGACATGATCCAGACACCTGACTGGATCATGGCGGCCCCCGACGGACGCACGCAGTTGGCGGGTGGCTATGACGGGCCCCGACTACGAGCTAAAAGCCAGTAAAATAGCCACGCTGTTCGTTTCTGTGACCAGTCTTCGAGACGCCATAGAAACAGGTCTATAGAAATCGAGCCATCTTCCGGCGACCTGACGCCCAGCCGGGGCGGAGGGACTACCCCTTCAAACGCGGCGTTCTGTCGGCTGAGCTCGACTCCGTTCATTGAGCTCTCTAAAGGTAGACACAAGATACCCGGACAGTCCGCTACCCGAGCCACGGCTGACGGTGCAGACAATGGCGCTAGCGCTGGCGCCGAAGAGACGCCGCGCCGGGCCACGCTGGCTCGTCTCATCTTGCCAGCAAGGATACCTATCGCCAGAAGCTATAACAAGACGTTTGGAACTACTTGAAACCGAGCGTACATATAAATCTGAAATATATCGAAAGTAAATACCGTCTTCAAGTTTGAGGACGAATCACCAAAGATCGCGATGCAGCTGGTTAATCCATATTTGCCTGTTCTGACGGCTCTTGGTTTGCCCTGCTGGCGCCTGGCGGAATGGTGATAGTCGCCAGAAGACGCGTTTGAAGTGGTCAGGTAAAGGCTACGTGCTCTGTGATTGGAAGGAAAATGATTGTTCTGCCAAAATGACACGTGGGACGAAAGACAATGTTTAGGTAAGCGAGATAACGAGAGATCAGCGGTAAAAATTAAGGAAAAACGTGAGGAAAGCTCGCGCGAATACTCAGCCTGTCAGACGCCACTGTGCACTGTAGAAAAGCTATATTTAGCGTAGATATATCGAGATGTGAAACAACTGTGTAACGAGAGCCGGAATAACAACGGAGCGGAAGCGACAGTGCCAGAAACACAAACTATTTTAGATAAAAGATAGAAACGGGCTTACAGAAAACAACGAAATAATTACGCCAATTAAAGCACAATAAACTTATTTTAGAACGCAAGTAACATTATATAATCTTAAGACAATAGCGAAGATAATACGATTTAAATATAATACTAAAAACGAGATCAGAAGGTACTTGAAAAGGAAACAGTATTTGCGCACACGCGACAAAACAATAGCGCACTTGGGCGGAGACGCCGCAACTAAATAATGTGCCGGTGGGCTGCGCGGCACCACAGTACTTCCCCCCCCTAAGAGCGGAGCGGGAAAAGATAAAAAAAACTCACGAGGGTGGAACACGAAACCGAACGCGGCGACCAGCACGAGTGTACACGGCGTCTCGCTGTGGACGAACAGGCACAGGCGACGGCGGCGACGCGGGCGCCGAGCTCTGGCCCCCAAGACGGCGACCACGACGTGGCGGAGCAGATGGTGGCGGCGCTACGTCAGCACGGTCCGGCTCCGCTGGCGGCGATGATGAAGCGTGCACAGGCGGTGCAGCGCTGGCCAGGCCGGGAAGCGGGGACAGCGCGGCATCGGCGCGGCCCGGCTCCACCGACGGCGATGTGGTTGTACCGGACTGCACGGGGGGCAGGGGCGGTGCGGCATCGGCACCGCCCAGCCCACCCGGCGGCGGTGACTGCGGTAGGTATGCTGGCTTGAGCCGCTCGACCGAGACGGTGTCACTCTTCCCCGACGGCAGCTCCAGCTGGTACCAGCGATCCCATCGCCTGAGGACGCGCAGAGGGCCGATATAAGGCGCCTCCAGAGGGCGGCGCACGCGGTCAACCCGCAGCCAGACGTGTGAACACGTCGAGAGGTCGGTCGGCATGTGCGGCTGGGTCAGTCCATGGTGGCTGCCTTCAGACGGCGAGAGGAAGTCTGTCCTGGCGAGTCGGCGGGCCAGCTCCCCGACGGTCTCGGCGGCGCCGTCCGGAGCAGGCTGCCGGTCCACTCTTATCCGGGGCTGCAACAGCATGCCCCCGGTGACGGCAGTGAACGGCGCATAGCCAGTCTCATTCATGGCCGCCCGGATGCCCAGGAGGACCACAGGTAGTGCTTGTAACCACTGTTTCTTGCTGGCGATGATGGCTGACTTCAGCGTCCGATGCTGACGCTCCACCATGCCGTTGGTCTTGGGGTGGTACGCCGTTGTCCGCAGGCGGTGAAAGCCGAGGATCTCGGCCAGTTGTCGGAAGAGGGCGGACTCAAACTGAGTACCTCTGTCGGTGACGACGTGCAGCGGCACACCAAACCGGGCCACCCAGACGTCCATGAAGGCGGCTGCGACGGTGGCTGCTGAGATGTCGGCGATAGGGGCCGCCTCCAGCCAGCGGGTGGAACGGTCAACACACGTCAGGAGGTACCGACACGGGGAGGTGAAAGACTCACCGTGAGGGATTGATGGCGGCAGAGGACCGACAATGTCTATGTGGATGGTCTCGAACCTGTCGCTGAGGAGAGAAAACGGAGACGGGACGGTTTTGGTGTGGCGGTGGACCTTACTCGATTGGCAGGAGGAGCACTCGCGTACCCACCGGCGGATACAGCGGTCCATGTCGGGCCAGAAGTAGCGCGACTTGACCAGCTGAAGGGAGGCCTTGACACCAGGATGAGCGAGGCTGTGCACCTGTTCGAACACATGAGTGCGGAGGGGGACTGGGACAAACGGCCTGGGAAGTGTCAGAGTGGTATCACAGAGGACGGTGAGATCAGCTGACAACGGGAAGGGTGTCAGCCGGTCCGAGTAGGCAGCTGTCTCCTGGTCGTCCCTCTGAGCCTCGGCGATGGCGTGCAGGTCGGCGGCGTCCACGGTGGCGGCGTTCACTGACGCTGTAGGCGTGGTGCTCGGTGGCGCGGCAGCCGCCAGCGACTCGGTGGCCGGGTGCGGCGCAGCAGTCACCGGGGTCATGCCAGTGTCGGCGGCGGTGCTGCTGAGCGCAGCAGACGGCGGATCGGGGCGCGCGCGCGCGCGGTCCGGTGCGGCGACAGGTGGCCGCTCCGAGCGCGCGCGGGCACCGTCCGGCGCGGCGACCGGTGGCGGCTCGAGGCGTACCGCGCGCGCGGCGACCGGTGCGGCGACCGGAGGCGGCACAGGGCGCGCGCGCGCGCCGTCCGGTACGGTGACCGGAGGCGACTCAGGGCGCGCACCCGCACCGACGGGCGCGGTAGCCGCGCTGCCCAGTGTGGTCAGGAGTGATCCTGTCGGTGGCGAGGTCTCGGAGCTCTGGTCGGGCGGACTGAGGGCGTCGGGGGTCACAGGGCGACTCCAACAGTCAGCGACCACGTTGTCAGCCCCGCGCACGTACTGGACGGAGGAGACGTACTCGGAGATCACGCTCCAGTGCCGCTGCTGACGGTCCGACTTGGCCGTCTGCGGGCTGAGGAACGCGGTGGTGAGCGGCCGGTGGTCAGTGAAGAGCGCGACGACACGACCTTCCAACAGGTGACGGAAGTGAAGCACGGCCAGGTAGGCGGCCAGCAGCTCGCGGTCGTATGTTGAGTATCGCCTCTGCTGGTCGCTGAGCTTCTTGGAGAAGAAGCCGACGGGGACAGGCTGACCGTCCGCGATCTGGTACAGAGCTGCACCGGCTGCCACCTGTGAGCAGTCGGTGACCAGGTGGTAGGTCTCACAGGACGGCAGGTGATGTCGGATGGTGCATGCTGTCTGCAGTGCCTCCTTGATGTCTGTGAAGGCGGCGAGCTCCGTCTCGGTCCACGGGAGGTTGGTGCTCTTCTGGTTGTGCTTCATCAGCTCTGTCAGCGGGTGGACGATCTCGGCGAAGTGTGGGATCATCCGGCGGAAGAACCCGACCATCCCGAGGAATCGGCGGAGTGCTGTGGAGTCCGGTGGAGTCGGCAGATCCGCGATCTCCTCGATCTTGGCGTCTGGCGGCCGGAGCCCCTCGGCGGAGACGGTGTGGCCTAGATAGACCACCTGCGGCTTGAAGAAGTCGCACTTGTCCAGCGAGATCCTTAGCCGGTGTCGATGGAGGATGCCGAGGACGG